CTACACTTGATCTTAGCCAAAAGGCCGAAAATGTGTGATTATTATTTCTTTAACTCTGTAGTTTTATATGAGGCTTTCATGTAATCATTTTTACTTAAAACCAATGTGGGACTTTGTAATTTGAATTAAACATTTTTTATATTTTGTTAATTTGAATTAATTTTAATTTTATTAGGTAATTTTGAGTTTTATAGAATTTATATCAATTAATAAATAAATGCTGAAACACTGAAACACTTTGCACATTTAATAATAATATAGATATATATATATAATTTATTTTTTAATAATAATATAATCAAATATATATATAAATTTTCGGAAAAAAAAAAATTAAAAACTCAACACAACCCAACCCGTCCGAAAATATTCGGGTTGAGACTGGGTTGAGTTGGGCCAGCCCAACTTACAGCCCTAATTACCAATAAAGGCATCAAATTGGAGCATTGGTTCGGGTCGAAACAGTTTGTAATTAGGTCATTTTGACAAACCAAGTGTCTGTTTTGCCAGCCATTAGGGCAATTTGAGTAGGAAGGAAGGAATTTTTTTTTGAAAGGTGGCAAGATGGAAGCTTTGGTGGAGGAGTAGAAAGTAGGGTTAAGTGCACTAACCCCCCTCAACTTTCTTCTCTATCACAAGAAACCTCCCTAAACTATCATAAAGACACTTAACCCTTTAAATTATATCTTTTGTTGCACATCGTTAGTTTGGCATCTAAAATTTAACGCTAAAGACACACGTGAAAGGGTAAAATTTTAGAAAGACAGAAATGCCCTAATGACTGTTATATATTCTATATATGTGTATATATCTATATATATGTTACATATGTACGGGTAAGGACCGTACAACAGGAAAAATGGGAGCCCATCCACAACCTGAAATTTCTACGCCGACCAACGCAGATAGATAGCCCACACGAACCATTCTGTTAGCTCTGCTCCACTTCTTGCTATTGAGACAACTAATCATCGGTAACACCATCGGCAATCACTAGATCCGCGACGAACGGCTAAAATCCCGACTATCACCAGATCATTGACGACTGATACTTGGGTTAATCTCATAACTGAATTTTTTTCAATCAAAATCGCACTTGAATAACACTTCGGGTCTGCAATCGCTGACTAGAACTCATAACTTTGTCCTTCAATTCCTTAAACAGAGGGCTCAATTCCGAACCAAAGTATTGCACATCTTCTCCGAGGAGGTGCAGAAATTTCCCACTACCCAAACACAGCCTTATGCCCCTCTATCACTGTTCATCTTCTTCAACGCACAGCACTGTGCAAGACCCAATTGCTCTAAACACAATTACAGGAGCCGCAAGACCCAATTGTAAATCCCTTACACCAATCGCAGCTAGCCCAAACACCCAACCCATCTACAAAACTTAACCAACAACCCTTTCACCAGAATCTCAACATTGTCACTTCCTCATCGTCATAGTCCTTGCACGCACTCCGTCGCCACCGATCCGTTTCTCATCGTCGATTCAATTAGTGTGCTTGCCGGTATTTTCCATGTCTTATCCGTTCAGTCCGTGCCTTGCCTGTTCATTGATAGCAGTTCAAACCTGCGTCCTCGGCGGTAAATCCTGTGGTTGTAGTTTATACCTGCGTGCTCGCCAGTTCACTCCGTAGTCCTTGCTCAGTTTAGACCTGCGTGCTCGCCGGTAAGTTCAGTGCATCGGCATCCTCGCATGCTTGTTGGTAAGTCCTTTCTTCACCGTCGGTTCCTCCTTGCTTCGTCACGCATCGCCGACGGCATATCACAAGCCTCATCGTCGTTCACCCATCCTTGCATCGCCGGGCGGTTTTGTCCCGAGCACATCCTTGCGTCACTAGCGCGGAGTCTGTCTTGGGGTTGTAGCAGATATAGAGTAGAGAGAGAGTGCATTCGGTGTAATTTTCATCTTAGGACTAAATGGTAATTTTATTTTCCAGTTAACGGATTCATGGGTTTGTCCGTAGATGCAACAAAGTAATAGTTTAAGGGGGTTTTACTTATTTCGGTAGAGTTTTTTGCAATTGAGTCATAGTTGAGGGGAGTTTAGTACACTTAACCCTATTAACTATATAATGAGTATTGAGTAGAGCAACAGGTTTCGTAGGAATGAAAGGGGGAGAGAGATTTTTATTTATTTTTTTAACTTATTCACGAAAATAATCACCTGTAATTTTAGTTTTTTATTGACACAAAACTTTTATCCCGTTGAAGTCATGATAAATACTACAAATACAAAACATTAAAGGGCTCTTTAACACCCTTTGAAAACATTAATTTACGAGAATTTGATTATAATCCTGTCAAATCACGAATTTTATGTAACAATTATAAGCAGTGTTTTCTACATCTAGTAAAAATTAATTTTTACGGGGCAGAATCAATTAATCCCGTAAATACTATGTTGTAAAAATTCACTTTTCAGTGAATCACATAGGTTTGTGATTATAAAGTAGATATCTGCAACTTGTGTTTTGATTCTCTCCCAAAGTGGTTTCAAACTCTGGGTGAAATGAAAACTTGAGTTTGGGTTTGAGGTATGAGTTTGGAGTTCATGAGATCTTTTGGTTTTTTAATATATATTTGGATGATTACTGGCACTCTGATATTTTAGCTTCTCTATTATTTAAGGAAATTATACGTATTTGTAGGAACTAATCACAACATAAGTATATAATCACTCTCTCACTAAATTAAAAAAAAAAAAAATACCTTTAACTTATTCGAAAGAATAAGTAATGATATACATATCGTTATGTCCCGCATTTTGATGATTAACTTATATTATATAATTTATTTTCATCCATCGAAAACATCTACTTCAATGTTTTAGTCTTATAATCCTCAAATAAGAGGGGAGGGATTCATGCCATAAATGCACACGTATTTTTGCCTGCACATTTTAGTAAAAAAAAAATTAAAATTACATTTCTTGTAAAAGAAAGTCATCTTGCTTTGTGTTCTAATATATTTTAATATATTCTTGCTTTGTCTTTTATATGTGAGAGTACTTTCTCATTTCCCTCCATTTAGAACAGCAAGAGATAGCATTCCATGTAATCCCTATGAGTCAGAAAATGTCATGAATTAAATAGTTGAAACATTTGATCGCATGATATTATCTCATTATTTTTTGATACGGACAGAAAATTTAATACGATACAACTTTCCTATTTCTCATTTCCCTCCATTTAAAACAACAAGAGATAGCATTCCATGCGATCCCTATGAGTCAGAAAATGTCATGAATTAAATAGTTGAAATATTTGATCGCATGATATTATCTCATTATTCTTTAATACGGACGGAAAACCTAATACGATACAACTTTCTCATTTCTCATTTCCCTCCATTTAAAAGAGCAAGAGATAGCATTTCATGTGATCCCTATGAGTCAGAAAATGTCATGAATTAAATAGTTGAAACATTTGATCGCATGATATTATCTCATCATTCTTTGATACGGAAAGAAAACCTAATACGATACAACGTGAACATAAACGATACCAGAAATCTTTAAAAAGCATAATACAAAAAATAATTACAAAATCGATCACCAGTCTTAACCTTATAAGAATATAATATATTAATATAATGTGGTTTCATTTATTATAATATAGATGTAGATGCCTCGGTAGCCTAGTAATTAGTGCCTCCGGTGGATGTTGGGAGTGCCCGACTTGACTCTTTGCACCTACTAATCTAACTTCTAACCTTTCTTACCTTGTAAAAAAAAATAAAAATAAAAAAATAAAAAATTATAATGTAGATAAATAATTTATATATAATAATACATTTATTATTATTTTTGACGTATATATTTGTGTCATTCTTTTTTTAGATTACTTGTATCACTAAATCCGTATTGTATGCTTGGTAAGTTCCTAGTACTCTTTCAATCACATTTCTCAACTTTTGAATTTTGCCATATTATACTCTATAACCTTTAATTTTTTAGGGTGTTTATTTTTATTCTTTGTAAATGGTTGATTTTTATTTTTATTTTTTTAAAATCATAGCAAGAAACTTACATATCAATTTTGCCTTAGTGATATTGGATAATTTGTCATTGTCAAAGAACTAATGACCATTTCTAAATAGCATCCTAACAAAAGGGGTTAATTTACCAAAAGGGAGAAAATATAATGAGGTTGATTGAAAAATTGAAATTTTAGGGATGCTTTCTATAACTTAAGGGTAATTCATGGCCAGCCTAGGGGCATGGAGACCTCTTTTTGGAGTGCTGTGGAGCTAGTGTCAAACACGTGTAGGAAAAGGCCTAGAAACGTGTTCAATATGGCTTGAATTGTCTTGGAAATTTTTTTATTTTTATTTTTTGGTCGAACATGATACATACAAGCTTAGAATATTTTCAGGTCAAGACTTGTGATTTTGTAATTGTTTTTCTTACTATAAAAATGGGACTACAATGCAATTTAAAATTATATTATAATTTTTTAAAAAACTAAAAAATACAAATAAAAACAAGCATCTAAAGCCAAGCTCCAACTTAGTGACTTCATTCATTATAATGTAGATAAAATTAGCACAATATATATATATATATATATATATATATATATATATATATATTATTTAAATATAATAATATATTATATTAAATTTCTCTACATTATAATGAATGGAATCACATAATATTATTATATATAAATTTTAAATTTTTGTCTAAAAGGATCATCTTGTTGGGTATCCATAGTATCTAAGGAAGATAATGTACTGTCCAATCACGCACAACACAGCCCAAAAACACACACTCTAATCGAGTGAAGGCGCGAAACAGAGCAAATTTAAACAACCAGATGCAAGAAGGAAAAAAAAAAAAGAAAAAAAGAAAAAAAAGAAGAGCAGTTGCAATGTTTGTGTGTGTGTTGAGTGATAAAACAATAGATATTACATTATTTTTGACCTACAGTGAGTCCGGGAATGAAAGGTACGCCAGTTGAAGGTAACCAGTTATTTGCATTATGAAGTTTTTAGCCGTAAACTGTAGCATTTGACCGGAGCTGGTTACAATTTGAAAACCCGGCCACTAGTTGCAGCTCCGGACCCCTGTTGTCATAGTCAATGTAGCTCAAATGATCCAATCTAGAGTTATTGTCCCACGGTGTCCAGCAAACAGGATTTACGATATCTCCTAAGAAAGACTCCATTACCACTACCCTAGAATACTCTCGCCATGGGTGTCCAAGAAATGCTCTGAAATCAGAATTTGACGGTTCAAAATTTGGTGCCACTGTGATGGTGCAATTCTGAATCACTATCCCAGTGTCACTATTTGCGCCATCCTTTCTGTCAACTGTACAACAATGGGCATTCCTTCCTTCCCGGGATTTCTCCCGTATGTTGCAGTTCTGGTACATGCTGGTTGCGTCGCCGAAGATGAAGTCTACGGTTCCAAAGATGTTGCATTCGTAGAAAAGTTTTGTGCCGGAACACACGTACAAGGTGTCCTGGTATCCTTCGAAGGAACACTTAGTGCATGTTTGGTATGCAGGAATAGAATGAGACAAGAATGAAACGTAAATGGGAATGATGTAAGAATGGAATAACCATTCTCATTCCACTGTTTGGATGCAAATAGAATAATTATTCTCATTCTTGTGTTTGGTTAAATCAAATAAAAAGTTAGAATGGAATGATTTATAAATTAGTTTCTTCAAAATATCCTTGATTGTAATATATCAGCTATATTAAAACTACATAATATATTCTTATTTATAATAAAATTAGCTTATACTAATTAATTCATTTTTATAAAATGCAAAAAAATACAATTATTTTATAAAATATGTATAAAACAAATTACATAGCACAAACCGCAAAATAGAGAGCTATATATATATATATATATAATATATATATATAAAACAAATTACAAAGCACAATAGAGAGCGATGTTCGTTTCTTCCGTTTCGAATTGAACTTTGTGATAATGTTACAAATCAAGGCTGACCATCACGTCAAATTCACCTCACGCATTTGGTCATTTGCCTTGCTCTTTCTGAGCCACACGTTCTGAAACGACGTCTCCACCCACACCAGTCCATAAACAAGATTCACATAGGGAACACACCTGCTAGACACAAGTCTCCTTCAGGTTTGTCTCGAGCTGTCCTCATTGCTACTTTCTATATCAATTGTTTGATGGACATGGTCAGTGGCCAACAAGTCTAAGGCATAAGGATTGGCTGCAAAACTACTGGATCATATGGCAGTGCAGTGTGAAGAGAGAGAGGAAAAAGAGAAAGGGTGCACCGTCACATAGTGAGAGATGAGAGATGAAGATAGTCAGATCTGTATGAGAAGAATGCCTAGGGGTTTTTTCGTCTTTTCATTTTATTATTTTAATTTAGTAGGAATGGAATGGCCATTCCACAAGTCCAGAAGAGGAATGGTCATTCCATCTAAAAGTTAGAATAAGCATTCCAGGGAATGGCAATTTCACTTTTAATGTGGCATACCAAACAAGAGCAAGGGAATGAGAAAATGGAATGGTCATTCCATTCCATCACACCAAACTAGGCCTTATAGTATGTATCATGTGAGGCTATGCTCCCCAAAGCAACAGCTTGTCCGGCATTGGCTCCGTCGGTATTCACAAAGCTAATTTTTTTGCAACAAAATTTGGTGTTTCTATATCTGCATGTAAACGATACCCACTTCGTGTCATATGATGCCTTTGATGTACACAAAAATAGTATTTACGTGTATAAAAGTAGTGTCCAAAGATATTAAGGGTAGTTTGGACAACTAATCGACTTTTGATGTGCACCGAGTCTAATATGTAATTGGAGCATTACATTAATTAATCACATTTTCTTTTAGCAAGACATCTCTCTCTTCTCTCTTTTGAGTGCTCTCTTCGAACAAATTTGCAATATGTCACTCAGTATCAACACCAAGATAAAACTATTACCATATTGAAAATCATCTTTGTATTAGTGCATGTATGAACACTTTTCCTAATAACACTTTCTTTGCAAAACTTGATAGTGATTGCTAAACTTGAATGAGTCTTTATGTGTTCAGTAATCACATTCCTTATATAATTAAATTAAATCGTTATACTTTAAATGAGCCTGACACTTGTAATTACATGATTTATACAAATTACATGTTTAAACAAAATTATAATTCTGATTTTGTTGTTAATAAAATAAGGGAGACAATATATATATATATATATATATATATATATATATATATATTTCAGGTTTCTAAACTCATTAATGAATTATCTTTTATTTTAAAATACTATAACTATCCCAAAGTTAATTAAATAACTATACCACCTTTATGAAGGTTAAAAGACCATAACACCTTTCTATTACTTGACCCAAAACCCCACCAAACAAATCCCTCATTATTTCTTCCTCGATCTCGCTCGACTGATCGTTATCTCTATATGCCTATATATATATTGTAACGACCCGAACCCGTGGGTCCGAACCATTAATCGAGTCCTTACCAAAATCCGATGTCAACTAAGTCAACACCGTCCATTTCTATGTCAATATATGGCACACGAGTCAGTCCAAGGCCCAAGGTATAGCCTTTACAAGGTGGTCAAGTAAGTAGGTCAAAGGGGAAGGGTCAGCCGGTTGATGGCCCTTAGTCGACCGGCTGACAGGGTAGGGTCGGTCTGCTGATAGAGATAATTAGCCAACTGAAATGATTTCTAAAAATGCACCTTCTCGGGACTTTACCAAAATGAACTGTCAGCCAGCTGGTGAGAGAGTGTGATGGTGAGGTTCAGCCGGCCAAAACAAGATTTTCTATCACTCAACTCTCTGGAGTGCCAAGATGTGCATTCAGAATCTTTGTCAGCCAGCCAATAGGCCTGGGAAGCTACTATCTGCAGCAAAAACATTAGAATGACTAGACTTGTTATGAGCCAACCAACACAAAACCTGCCGCAACCAAATTCCGAATTCACAGCAATAATTTGACACCATTCCTCCATCATACTCGTCATCATGAGTGAAATGGAAAATTCAAATACATTACATTCACTAGAAATATATAACATTGTCATTCTTACATTCCCCCAATGATCATATACAAAATAGAGAATATAAATACATCATGTGTTGCAAAATGGTACATTTATAGTTAATACTTTACAAAGTGGGGTCTAATTACAAAAGGTACAAAAGAAATCAGTCCTCTAGTACGAACTAATACTGTGGTGGATTGTCATCCGCCACCTCTTTTCCCGAACCTGAAAAATGTTAATAAAGGGGTGAACACTATTGCTCAATAGGAGGTGCCTAAGACACACCTCTTATGACCCTGTGAATCCATACAATGAATGAAAATGAGAAAGCGGGATCATGCCATGCACAAAACCAACAACCCAAATTACAAATGAATTATGCCGTACAATGGCAATGAATGTTGTGCAATGTCGCTCCCCATTTTCAAAACCTTTTTTTCGTCATCATTTTCAAACCGTTAGTGCAACCCGTCCTATGGCAACTCCATGGCGGCATGAGAGGAGGATTGGCTAACTGTCCCTGACCCATAGTAACTCCATGGCGTCATTTGGGGCCAGGTAACTCAACCACGCTATGGCGATCTCCCCAGTCTCTTCTAGGCCATACTAACGCCACGGTCCTTAGGTAACTCCTAGGCAGCCGGGTTTTTACAAACTCTTTTCAAAACTTTTCCCAAAACCCTTTTTCATTTCTTTAAAAATCAATTTCTAATTTATTTCCCAATGAATGCATGAATGTCTCATATAATTCAATGTTGTGTATATACGAAAAATTTCATGTTCTTTAAGTTAATAGTCAACAATAGGCATTTTATACAAGAATTCTCTAAGTATAATTTCATGCTTTTTATTCACAAAATATAACACTAAAGACAACAAGGCATAAAATTATCATCAACTAGACATGCTTTGCCATCTTTTAGTAATTAACACACAATCACATGCTTGCACAACATAGAAGGAACATTGCATGGAAATATTCACAATTTAAGCATGTAAAATCATAAATTTGAGGAAATTAACTCACAAAAACCAAAGAGATTTGTGAATTAAGAACCCCTACCTCAAAAGGAAACAAAACCCTAAATTTTTGCCGAATCCAAACCCTAATTTTCGATATCCCAAGGTGCACAAAATGGAGATTGGCTCCGATCAAATCGTTGATCTTGTCGAGCTCTTCAATTTGCCACAAACGGCATCAAAAATCTCTCAACGATTTGAGAGAAATAGAGATTTGAAGTTTTGTTGTAGAAAAAAGAAAAAGGAAAAAATAAGAGAATGAGGGAGAGGGAGAGAGAGACTTGCGTAGAGAGAGAGAGAAGTGGGAAATGTGAAGCCAAAATGGCTTCTTTGCCATTTTTCTTTTTAAAAATGTGGATCCCACCTTTTAAAATAAAAATCTTCTCCTTTTTTAATTCCAACCATAGTTATATATATACACACACACATATATTAATTCACAACCACATAAAACACATTAAATAAAAATGAATATGATGCAAATGGACCCAACCATAACCCCGTACACGACAATTCTGGTAGCGGGTCTCGTTGGGACTTTCCGGTTCGGAAAACGAAAAAATAATGAAACAGCAACCCTTGCATTTCCAAGAGTTATAAGCTCAATGGAATGCCCCAACTAACTCTCTGACACACTCGGCACACCCCATAATGTCCGGCACGTAAAATGAGAAAAGATGAAAATGCCCTTGCAAAAATGAAAAATTCTAGAAAAAAATCACAATCTCCCCAACTTAAAAATGATTTCGTCCCTGAAATCAAACCATACATGAGGGAGAAAACAACGTCGAGTACTTAAGCAAACCTTCTGTTCAAGCTCCCAAGTAACCTCTTCAACTCTGTGGTGTCTCCAAAAAACCTTCACTAGCGGTATCGTCTTATCCCTTAACACCTTCTGTCGTGTGTCAAAGATCTGAACTGATCCCTCCTCATAAGAGACATCTTCATCAATATCCATATCAACCCAACTCAGAATGTGAGACGAATCTGGTTCATACTTCTACAACATCGACACATGAAAAACATTGTGGACCCTATCTAACTGGGGTGGCAATACAAGTTTGTAGGCAACCTCTCCTACTCGGTCCAAATCTCAAAAGGTCCTATGAATCGTGACGATAACTTGCCACTCTTCCCGAACCTCATTAACACTTTCCTTAGAGAAATACGTAGAAAAATGTGGTCTCCCACTTCAAAGGATAGTGGCCGTCTCTGCCTATCCGCAAAACTCTTCTGTCGGTTCTGAGCCGTGAGCAACCTCTATCTGATCAACTTAATCTTCTCAGTAGTCTCGAGTACAATGTCAGGTCCTAAGGTGGCTGTCTCACCTACCTCAGTCCAATA